CGCAAACACACACGCGTCTGCGCGCGTTCACTACACGTAATCCGCACGACGCGCCTCATTCATAGAAACTGCGTAGTAGAAATATCGTAAGGTCATGGTCGCGCAGAACAACGCAGCGATTTGGCGGGGCCCTGACAAGGGTGAAGAGAGGGTAGACGATGGAAAAAGTATGGTACTCGGTTGTGGTCAATTTTTCGTTATTTAGAAAATACTTGATGTGTTGAACTTTTAAATACAAATACCAATATGAATTTTGAATGCACCGTGGCAGAGTAAATGAATATTTGTGTTTGTTTGTTTGTTTATTTATTTGTGTGTGTGTGTGTGTGTGTGTGTGTGTGTGTGTGTGTGTGTGTGTGTGTGTGTGATGTGTTAGGGTGGGGAATTTAAGCTGCGCACTAGGTAGGCTATTCTCTTTATTGTATGCCGTGGTGTACAATTTTTTCAAACACCACCCCACCCCCTCCCCCAACAGCAACAACAAACAAACAAACCTGGCATTGCAATACACTCAAGGCTAAAAAGAGTCTAGAACTACAAAACAAAGCTAATAATATTTCATTACATGACATGATGTATTCAAAATCGACTCGCTCTCATTCTCCTCCCAACCCCCAATTCTCTCTCTCTCTCTCCTCTCTCTCTCTCTCTCTCTCTCTCTCTCTCTCTCTCTCTCTCTCCTTTGTGTAACCTTCTCTTTCTCTTTGTTTGTCTCTGTCTTTCTTTCTCCCCCATCTGCTTTCCCACTCTATCTTTCTCTCATTCCCTCATGATGTCAACTAGGGCATATGTGATATAAAAGCTAGCACTCCCCCCTGTTCTCTGCCTCCCCCCCCCCCTTTCTCTCTTCTCTCTCACACTCTCTCTCTCACTTACACACACACACACACTCTCTCTCACACCCACACACACACATACTACTGGGTCTTGGTGCTGAAACTTTCCAAAATCACAAAAGATTGCCCCTACCGGGTCTGTATACTTGGTGACTTATTGTTCCCGGTTACCGGGTCTGTATACACTTCGTTTAAAAATCTCTAGCTCTAGAAATTGATTCTTGAATTCGATGCAAAAAATGCTTCCTCTCAGTCCTCACTGAATGGCAGAATGAAAGGATGACGCCTAAATCTCGCAAATAACCAAAAAATCTCGAGATCAGAAACCATTAGGAGAAATGGAGTTCAACTTTATTTTCCCCGAGCGTTCGGAGAAATAGTCACTTCGTAATAATACTAAACAAGGTTGACCATGTAACATTTTCCTTGTTCAAATCCGTTCAGACAACGAAAACAGTTAACAATAAACAATAACAGTCTGCTACTAAGAATAAGAAGAGTCGAGTAAGAACATTGTAGACTGAGTACATGCAGTTCAGTAGATCAAGAAACAGTCTGAGGGACTGAGGCCTGAGGTGTGAAGATTTACAACACCAAGGTTCATCGAAATACTTACCATAGGAGGGAGCAGTGTCTTCATGTGCTTAAGCTGCATTTTGTCCGACTAAACGGACTCTCAAAGAGATCGTCAAAATGGGTTCAGGGTTCGATAATGTAACTGAAAAAATTGAGAAACAGAAAGAGGTTTCGAACTTGCCCACGAATGGTTCACATAGACGCTCTTTCAATGGAATGCTAGCAACCTGACCCGACATTCTTCTTATGGCTTCAGTTTCGAAACAGTAAAATTATCAATATTTAGAGATAATTCTCGATAACGTGGTCTATTATTGTTATTTCAAAAATATAGTGGATTAAATAAATTAAAACCAAAGCTTAAAAAGAATTTGTTGATTTTTTGAAATGCGAAACCCTTATTAGAACTGCCTTTATTAGCAGTTGTTTAAACATGGCTGCCTGCGGTAGAATAAGGAGATTTTTTTCTCCTGGAAACTCGCTGAGAATTGTGGAGCTGGTACGACATTGTCCATGTTGAGTAAATGTAGATGATAAATGTTGTGTTAAAGCATGTCAGTGTGATGCATTTCTTTTGATTAATTTTTACTTTGTTCAGGTTGAGGCTCGAACTGATCTAGAATCACACATGTATACAAACAACACGCCAACACACACACAACATTGGTCATACTCATGATTGGACTGGTGACACATACACACTGTGACACTAGACCGCCTCGGTGGCCTCTTGATAAGGAGTCCGCTTTGAGTGATCTAGTGGAAGGTTAATTAATCTTTTAATAGCACTAAAACACAATGAAAACAATTTGTGTAAAACTGAAAGATCAAGAAGAGGCGATAACAGCTAACAACATGGCACGCCCACATAGTCAGTTGTTTACGTAAACAAGCTTGAAGTGAGGTAGAGGTTTCCGTTTTTAATTTGTTTTACCTATCAGAGTTGTTTACATTTTTGATCATTCCTGCTCGAAAAGGGGTCTAAATCTAAAAATATTTGCGAATGAAGAGCGTTGAAGCAAAGATACTCCACTAGTGGAGAATCTTCAAGCCAAGGGTTGAAGCAAAGGTAGCTGTTGAACTTGTGATCTTACGATCATTCATGTTATTGTTACGTTTCGGTAATCAGCTGTGGATTGTTTTGTAAATTCCAATAAAGCAGGGGAGATTACTGTCACTACTTCCCCTTCCCAACTCCCAACCGATCAGCTGTTTGGCCGTTGTCTGCTAAATTTTGTTCCCTCATCATGGCAAGTCAAATTAGATCTCTAGTTCCCATTCAACAGTAGCCATGAGGTAGATTCTAATGGTTTTAAAAATAATCTCACAGCAGCTACACACTAGCAAGGTCCAAATTCCTTTATCGTCGCGCGAACCACACACACCTCCAAAATAAAACATTTATAGTCGATTATAGTAGTTTATCTTTATCTTAAATGAAGCAGAAAAGAGATCAAGCTTTCAATACAGTCAAACCTGCCCTGACGGCCACCTCTATAAGACAGCCACCTGTACAAACGGCCACTTTCCATTCCCCCCCTTGCGTTTTTTCTATATAATTTAACTGTGTAAAACGGGCACCTGTCCAACGCGGCCGCAGCCACCATATTTTAACACACAACCCCTATCACACTAAGCAATAACACCTGTCTTAGACGGCCACCTTAGTGACTCCATTACGTTTTGTCATAAATTGTGCATTGACCCCTGGCGTTGTGGGCGAGCCGTCATAATTCAGTCACCTGTCGTTGTTGTTAGGTAGTCCCTCCAACCGATCATGTTGCGTAGGCCCCTCCCACTGTTGACCAATAGTTACCAATTTTCAGCTACTGGTGAGGTAAGCATGTGATGCCTCATAACCTCTAAGCCCCGCCCAGAACTCAAAAACAAATCGTAAGTGAGATGAGTGGTTACTGTTTACCCAGTCTGTAACAAAGTAACAAAGGACGTCAACATGGACTTGTGACAGAAGCGTCGCTCGTTCTCCGAGTGGTGGCGACCCATGTGTTTGTTTTAACATGACACTCAGTCTTCCTCATCTGATACATTTCGTTTTATATTGTCACCCTTGTTGTGCAAAATCAGCAACAAAATACAATTTACAAACAAAATACAAACCAACAACAACAACAACAACAAAAACAACAACAATGCGGCTACTTTCGATAGGGACCTCAGATGGGAATGGTTTGTTTTCTTCATCTTGATCAGTCCTGCCTAAGACGGCCACCTGTCTTATATGGCCACTTTTCTCCTTGACATTGGGTGGCCGTCTTACACAGGTTTGACTGTACATCCAAAATCCAAAAATTTCATGGAAAGTCACTTTTTTGTCTTTCGAGCATCGTAGCTGATAATAGCACACTGTGTCTTACGACTGATATTGAGCGGGGGAGACAGATATAGACATTTCCCAACCTCTATTTTACCATATTTGAATGTTGTCCACCCTAGAAGCGCTCAGCGTTTAACTGGAAGTAGCCCGCAAAAAATGCCCTGCTGCCACGGCCGATCGGTTGTAAACATGGGGGTTGGGGGGGGGGGGATACCAGCTGAGATACCCAAGATGTATATCTGCTACTGAAAAATGACTCTTACGGCTCAACAGATGATAAAAGGCATTAAAAACCATATATCTTTTCTTAAAGCTGATAGAATGCGCCATTAAAAAAAGATAAGCGATCAAATAAATACAAACGAAGCGCAAAATGCAATAAACTCAACACTTAGTTAATTAGCACGGCGGAACAAGTGAAATTATAACACATAGCGTGTAGTTGTTCAGCTGGACCGCGTCACTTTATCGATCGATATCGTGGCCAAGAGACGCTCTACGAGGTCAAGATAACTTGCAAAGTTATTTGTCACTATTTATAACTTTGACCTGTAATCAGGGCTGCTGACTTTTTTTATTTAAAAAAAATCAACAAAAAAAATCAATTTTAAAAATTTAAATCAGGTTTTTAAAATTTAAATCGGATTTTTTATATTTTTTTGATTAAAAAAAAAATGTCGACACAGTTTGGGATTTTTGGTGGCTAAAAGTATGTTCTTTTCGTGCAAAATGCATTGTCTTTATTTTAACTAATGATTAATTTAAGCAACTGCAAAAGAAAGCCTTTATCTGCTATATCAGTGAATTATGGATACTGACAAAAAATTAAGAAAATGTTAGTCTAAAAGGAAGGGGGGAGGGGGGGGGGGGGGGTAATTATGCAATAGATAAACTTGAATTTTATTACAGTGTGTGTGTGTGTGCGCGCTTGTGTTTGTTTAAAAAGAAAAAGAAAATGCTAATTTCAATTATGAAAAAAAAGTAGATTTAATGCTGTATTATTTTACTACTTACAGTGACAGGGGGGGAAAGCAGACTTTTAAGCATGATTATTTTAGTCTACTAAACCTTATATCTGTTTTATAAAACCAAGGAAAGGAATTCTGAAAGTTTAAAGACGTAAAACCAGAATACATTTTTAAAAAGTGATTTAAATCACTGAGTATTATATTTAAAATCAGGTTGATTTAAATTTAAAAAATCAATTGATTTAAATCGACCTGATTTAAATCAACCCAACCCTGGTTTTCAATTATGAAAAAAAAGTAAATTGAATACTGTATTATTGGACAGGGACGGGGGGAAAGCAGACTTTTAAGCATGATTATATTTTATTCTACTAAATCTTATATCTGTTTAATAAAACCTAGGAAAGGAATTCTGAATGTTTAAATATATGTAAAAACTGAATAAATTTAAAAAAAAGTGATTTAAATCACTGATTTTTATTTTAAAAATCAAGTTGATTAAAATATAAAAAAATCAACTGATTTAAATCAACCCAGCTCTGATTTCAATTATAATAGGAAAAAAAGTAAATTGAATACTGTATTATTTTACAGTGAAAGGGGGGAAAGCAGACTTTTAAGCATGATTATTTTAGTCTACTAAACCTTATATTTGTTTTATGAAACCAAGGAAAGGAATTCTGAATGTTGAAATATGTAAAAACTGAATACAAATAAATTTAAAAAAAAGTGATTTAAATCACTGATTTTTATTTTAAAAATCAAGTTGATTTAAATTTAAAAAATCAACTGATTTAAATCGACCTGATTTAAATCAACCCAACCGTGCCTGTAATTTACTATGTCATTTTCCATATAAGGAATACTGAAATTTTCCATGGAAAAAGGTCAGCATCTATTCACTTTATATAGGGCCTGCACGCTTCCCGTTTGAAGTAGGTCAGCCCTATATATAGGGCCCTCGCACTTCCCAGGTAGCCCGGCTCACGCCCTTTATATAGGGCCTGCGCGCTTCCAGGGTTAAATCTGAGGTAGAAATATTGTGCAGTGTTTTTGATGACGAGCAGTGAATTGTTTATTTGTTTGTTCTGTCAGGTTATAAAATGTTGACATTGTGACCTGGGATAGTTGTTTTCAATGAATGTTAAACAGGTTTTTAGTTCCTGCTGTAATAGCACTTCATAATATTTACATCTGCTGTTGTCTTTGCTATAGTGTTTTATATAAATAAATGTATCATTATGATTCAAACCATGACACATGTATGTTACATGACACATGTATGATACATGTATATGTTGAAAAAGGTCAGTTGAGCCATTTTCTGATTAGCCAACAGAATGTTCTGACAGAAATTTAGGAGTATAGAAGGGTGTCATTGGCCGGTCATTAAAAAGTCATAACATGTACAAATACTTTAGAAGGCACTAACAAATAATTCAAATGAATTAAGGAATTTGGTAGAAAGGGCACATTATTGGAACAGAATACGTTTCTGGCTGTTTGAAAAAAATAAGTTTAAGACTTTGTTTTATATAATCCCTTACTTTAAGTGCATGAGTTAACCCTGTGAAAGCAAGTAAGATAAAACTTGATAAATCAGAAAAGCTCTTTGTGAACTTGGTCATTTCTTTGTCCATTCTCACTTATTGGTTGAACTGTTTCCACAGCTGTATGCCATATTTGTCGTCTCATTTTCCTACGGGTGGAGTGACAAAGGTGTGAACTATTCAGACCTTAATGGAGGCGACTATGATGAATGTAACAGCATTATTTTTGTGATGATGGTTGGAATGATCTCCCTTGTCTTCCTCTTGTGTGTCTGCCTCTACTCTATCATGGGGAAAATTTTAGCCCCATGCAAGGTAAGTGCATTCAGTACAATATTTTGTTCATTGTAAAAATTAAAATTCAAACTGTTCCCTTTTCTGTTTGCAGAAGTTTCTCCCATCAGAACTTATTTTTCTTCACTGAGCACATCTGATAATGATGGGATATATAGTCTTTTATGATGATCATGTGTAAGGAGCTTTGACTTTTGGGGTTTAGTTCTACACTGGTTCCGTATGCTTGGGGTTGCCGTGTTTTCTGTATTTTCTGTTTGCTGGTGGCTGGAGGGGACTAAGGTTAGAGTTTTTCTTTCCTGCCACTTTTTTGCTTCTCTGTGTGCTCTGTTTCTGTTTGTCTAAAGCATTTTGTGCCAGCATTTGTTGACTCAAATTTTAAAAAAAGGTTAGAAACTGTGCTGGGTCTTTGTTGTAGCTTTTTTGTCATTCTTCCAGTCACCTACCTACATGTTTGGCAGTATTGGGTGCACACTGTCTCTCTGATGTTCATTAATGTGAATCAGGCTGTTGTCTTTAACTTGTGTTCTTTCCACCAAATGACCTTATAAAATAGATAATGCCGTAAAAAAATTGACTTGAACCTAATCCCTCCAGGATATTGTGGCTAATGGAGTGCTCAGTTTGCTCATGTTCATCGCTGCCATTGTCCTGTCGCACACACTGTCCAAGCTGGGAAAGTCTCAAGGAGTCCGGGAGGCTGGAATCTCATTTGGTTCTTTACAAACTGCCCTGGTAAGCCTGTGTGTTGTGTGTGTTTTATGTCCTGAAATTTTAATCCCCAGTGAATGTTGTTTGGCAGTTAAATTGATCATGTCCGCCTTTCTATATTATATAGTCACTAGTTGTATTTTGAATTGCAACTTCTAATCACTGGTTGCTGTTGCCATTTTCATGAGATGTTTGTCTATTTCCTTCCACTGACACTGTTGTAACATTCTGACTCAACCCAAATTGGAATGATTATGATGTGTCCCTAGTTGTGTGAAGTAAGTTCTACCCTAGTTTTCATGGGTCTCATATAAGTATAAGGGCATGATGATGTGGATCGTATGACAATGTCTTCCGTTGCTCTCCTCCAGGTGTTTGGTATTGCTCTGGCTATGCTTTTTGCTTTGAGCGCTGCGTTTGCTGTCTGCTTCTACCGGAAGAGAAGTGACTTTATGCTGAATGACTCACGAACTACAATGGCTGATCTCCCTGATGACATACCCACTTGAGAGGTGTCAGGTTGTGTTGGACGTGTGACCCCACAGGTCAAGTACATGGTTCACATCAGACACCAGAGGACCGTGGCTCAATATGTGGGGTCAGATTTCAGCTGCAAGGCTCAACTGTTGGTCCTGCATTCTATCTGATAGGAAAAGGAGTTTGTTGTTTCTCTTATAGGTTATCAGAAAGGTTTATCAAAGATTATCATATACATCACCTTTCCAAGAAAGGGAGTTAAAGATTCATGCTCATTGACTATGGTTATTGTGAGTAGAATGGATTAAGAACTTTTGCTTTTTTATAGGATAAATATTGTCAAGTTCAGTTCAAAGTTAGTGAGACTAACTGTTAGTGGTCCCTGTGTGTTTGTCTAAATGGTTGATTCCCTCTTATTACAGTGTTCATGAAGATCAAAAGCCTCCAGATTAAAGTTGACAACATAAATCGCATATATATGAAACTACAGTCTGTTTTACTAGTTTCAGTTGTGACCTTTAGAAATACATGTAATAGGAGAGAGATTTGGCTATTTGGAATGCCATTCTTAAAGACACATAAACATTTTTATTGTAGATTAATTTCTTATCCACGAATGCTTTTTAACATCTCTTGCTTCAGAATATCAGTAAACTTCGTCATTTCTTATGCTGTTTGTGGTTACATGCTTTTCAACAATTTTTTTTTTTTCAGTAGCAGGTCTCATATTGCGGATAATATTGACATGTAACTATAGACATTGCTCATTGTGTTGTAGTCTGACCAAATCAAAACAATGTTTTAGTATTGTGACTTGGTAACAATGTGATCCATGCCTTTATGACTCGACAAATAATGTTGAAAGTTTTTTGTGGTCTCCATTAATCCGTTTTGTTGTGACTACTGACTCGTGTGTGTTGTCTCCAGCATAATGTGTCTCGTGAGCAGGTCCGAGTTTGTATGTAATGAGATATGGGAAAGATTTACTCACTGAACCCATATCCAAATAGTGTTAGAACAGAGATGTGACCTGTATTGCAATCATTTTATCAGTACCAGATTTGTCAATTTTTGATGGTACAACTGTAGAACGTTCATACAACCATTATGTATGGATCTTTTTGCTCAAAACCACACCAGCACGTCTGATCACGTTTGATCACATATAATTCTGAGATGACTTATGAGTTTTAGTGATGGAACTTTGACTGAAAAGTCATTATGATCAGATGATCTTTTCAAAAACTTGAATATCGTGCTGAAGTTTTAAAAAGTACAAAGTAGTAAGTCTTGAACTTAAAAAAATAAGTTTCATTTATTTAAAAGATTTTGAACATGTGTAATACTGTGCAAAATTTCAATTGCTTAATCGTGAGTTTAGTACAGTGGAAACCATATAACAGGCACAGTAATAACAGGTATTCGGTAATAACAGGGATTTTTAAAGTCCCTGTTTTTTCCTAATCTTAGTCTCTATTAAAAGTTATCAGCCATAACAGGGCCTCATCGTAGCCCAATCGGTTATAGCAGGGACAAAGGCTCGTTAACAATGTGTAAAAAGTGTGTGAGAGAGAGAGAGAGAGAGAGAGAGAGAGAGAGAGAGAGAGAGAGAGAGAGAGAGAGAGAGAGAGAGAGAGACTGAGACAGAGAGACAGACAGAGAGACAGACAGAGAGAGAGAGTGTGTGTGTGTGCGAGAGAGCGAGAGAGAGAGAGAGAGTGAGAGACTGAGACAGAGAGACAGACAGAGAGAGAGAGAGATGGAGCAAGCCAATGCAAGCCATGCCACTGCAAGCGCACGCAGCGGGTGAAGCGAGAGAGGGCTGTGGTGTGTTGCAGACTTCGATCTAGTCCTAAGCCTAACTACAAGCACGCATCATGTGTCATGCGCAGGCCTGCCTCATGGCCAAAACCCCTGTTCATGGATACTTTGTGGGAAGGGAAATTACCCATGAATAAATGCAGATGGATTAGTCCGCAAATGCTTACTTCCCTTGCATTTCTGATTTAACAAGGATCGGATATAACAGGACTTTTTCTCTGGTCCCACCATCCCTCCCTGTTTTATTAGGTTTCCACTGTGTTGTTTGTACCAGCTCCATTTTTTCCAGTTGTGACGTAATTCACTTTGAAAGCCCAAAAACCTATTCACGAAAACAGGAGTTAATACAACATGAAACAAAGGTTCTACAGAACAAGGGCATTAACCATAATGATTATCTTGGACTCAACTCAAGCTCAAAGGGATAATTTACCAACAGCCTTGACAGCTGTGACAAAAACTCCCAAAAATCAGAAATTGGAGTTAGTACAACTTAGTACAAGATAGCATCCAGCTCACATTATATTTATTGGTTCAGTATTTAGTTTTATAGTGTCTAAAATTATGAGGAAAAAAATGACTTTGCCAGGATGGTTTGCCATTTCAAACCAAGCCTGGCTGGTTGCTGCTGTGAGAAGTGTCAGGGGATTCTCACTATGTAATGTGAACAATTTTTGGTCCTTGACTAGACAGAGAAGTCGGTTTTTGGTCTTGAGTGGAACCTTTTTTCTCCCTTCTTGGACTTCTGATGAGGTCTGCGTGACAAAATACATCACGTTGACTGCTTAGAACTTTACGGATTTCTCCTTCGCACGACCGCAGGCGTATCTTCATACGACCGTAGGCGTATTTGTCGTGTGCAACACCGCACCTACCTCAGCGTGCACTGTTTATGGTCAGGCTCATTGTACAGCATTTTTCTTTGACACATTCAGTGTAACTTTCTGGTGGTGACATTGTAATGTCATCTATGCCAGGATCTATGTGATTTTACCTTCATTAATATAAATGTGTCTCACTTTTACTCTGTTGTGTACTTGTTGTGATATTTTGTGACCCTTAAGCCAAGATTTGAAAGAACTTGAGTTTGAGAAAATATTTAAGTAAGTATTGGCCAGTTTTGTTTTCTGGTGGCAGTGTGCAATACCCGGTACATCTTATTGTGTCTCATACCTTTGTTTTTTTAATCATTTTAAATTATGATCTCCAAGTTTTACTTTTGTGTAATCTGAGATACCACCTCTGTGTTTGAAGTTCAACTGCTTTTAGTCAGTGTTGTGTTCACCATGATTGTTTTATTTGAATTTTTATTTCAATGTGCTCAAGAAAGGGTATATATGTGTATAAGATTTACATTTTTGTCTCTTACTTAAAAGTATACTTTTTTATACATATTTGGTGTTTACTCCATTTCCAGCAAAGTCTTTTACTTCAGTCTTTTTTGTTGACTGTTGTTCCCTTTGTCTGGCTACCCTCGTACTTACTCGAACATGCCCCTGCAGTCTGTGCCTAATGTCCCAATGTCTGTTAGCTTACCCTTGTCTTTTGACCATACTTTTATTTATTTATTAGGAACGCAAATCTTTGTTATGGTAACGTCCCCCTTCTACCCCATATCCTTTCAAGCGAAATGCTCGCAGCTAAAGGGATTTGAAAACGACAACAACAACAACAACAACAACAACAACAACAACAACAACAACAACAACAACAACAACAACAACCCCATATCCTTTTGTCAAACATATTTTCACTAGGTATAGGTCTGTGTGTGTGTATACACATAAATGTCCACATCTGGCAGTCACCTTATATTGCCAGTGGCTTTTATGAATCACATGGCACGTCATCAGTCTGTGTTTTTCTAGAACTATCTTTCTATTTCTGCTCACTATCTGACACTTTTCACTTCCCTTCTTGCTGTATAAACAGATAGTAATGGGGGAATAGGGCTTAAGGAGATAAATATAACAGAACACAGTTTTAGACCTTTTACACTTATGACTGGATTCTTAATGTTTGTTAGGATGAATTTGGTTATTCAATCCGCACAGCAGCTCTTCACTCAGTATACTTTTCTTTGGCTCTTGCCTGTTGATTTCAGCATGTGATTATTCTGGGGTTTTTCTTGAATGACTAACACCACATTTGCCAAACTTCTCATTTTTTCTTCATTTCCAGCCATGGGATCTTAGGCAGATACTACCCGCTGTATGTTTTTGCTTTTGCTCTTTTAAATTTAGTTTTTGTTGTGATCGTAATTCTCTTCCAGTTGTTGAAGGTCCCCACCAATAGGTGAGGTGGGTGAGGCCATTCTGAAATTGATCTATAATAGATATATAATATACACACAAACCTAGACTTTTCTCTTGTTTGTTTGTTTTTGTAAAGTGTTTTACGGCGCTCGCAACTGCATAAGATCATATGAGCGCGCGGGACACACCTAATATTTTCAGTTGGTAGGAAATTTTGAATTTTGCCCAGGTGGCAGCCAAAGCCTACTCTTATCGATTTTAGACCACCAAGGGATCTTTAACGTGCGCAACTTGCACACGGGCCCTCCGAGATTTTTCGCGCTTGTCCGAGAAGGCTAGGTGTAAATCTTTCCTACCAGAAGATCAGGGGTTTGGCAGAAAGACAGCAGTAGGGAAGAGCAAAGAAGTAGCAGTAGAAAGGCTGCAGAAAGAATCAGGAGCCCAGAGGAGGAGGCAAAGGAGGTGAGGGGGTGGGGGCAGAAAGTGGAAATGAAAGCAGACAACAGAACATTGCCAGAGAGCAGGAAAGAAAGTGAAAGAGACAATTTTAGAGAAGAAAAATTTTCGGTCGCTACCCGGATTCGAACCCGGGACCTTTTGAATGAGAGGCCAACACCTTAACCTCTAGGCCACGAGAGCCCCGACTTTTCTCTGCAGTGTGTTATTTTTCTTGTATGTTGTACAGATGGGCCAAAGTTTTTATCTTTTGACACTGTCCTCAAGAAGTCTGCTTTTTTTATAGGACTTACTAGATCACTCTAGGACCTACCACATTAATGCTTCTGATACTTGGATGTAGTGTTAATTATACGGTGGCATATTGACAAATGTGTCAGATATCTCTCTCTCCCTCTCTTCTGGCGCTGTGGCTTCATAAACGGTCAGCAATGCCGACAGCACGCAGGAACTCAACACTCGCCCGGGGGTCCTTGAAAAGTGCAGAAAGTGGGTTACTGAAATGTCCCAGCAGACGGGTTCTAGCACGATAGCTGGGGGGACATCTCAGGAACACATGTGTCTGATACAGTAATACGGTGGCATATTGACAAATGTGTCTGATATAGGGCTTATACCGGCTTATTCCAGTGTCTCAGGTGGAATCTTGACACTTGATGATGTTGTGTTGCCTGTTGAGTCTGATCTAGAGATGATCTACGTCATCTATGCTTATGATGCTGTAATGACACCTTACTCCTCCTATAAAGCAGGGCTTACTCTGCCTCATCGCCTCTGATAGTGTTTTGACACATTCTGATGATGTGTGGACGAATTGCTGCCTTAGAA